TCTCCATCCCCTACCTCCACTGAGATGGCAGACTGAAGGACTTCACTAGCACACTGTCCTTCAAACATTGGCATGCCGCCCCCAAACTTACCTCTAGGGAGCGTGGTTGACATAGTAACAATTTAAAGGACCAAGAGTATTTGGCTAAGGTTTTTTTCCCCGAGAATAAAATAATCAGTTTAACAATTAACTAAGGGAGGAATATTGTTCATCCTTTCTTCATCAGGTTCTGTTCCTTTCCTTCTGCTTCCAAAAAACACTATTGCTAAGGCTGTTGATATAATGGCTTTCCATTTTGAAAAAGGATTGTGCTTTTTTTTGTAAAAGCTAGCTTCAATGTGATGTTAGATTACCTACCTCAGCTATCTTAACTTCCAGTCTTAGAACTGACTTCATATCAGATTCGGCTCGTGAAGCGTTTGCACCCAGAAGCACTGCTGTATCAACCATGAACTGCAAAAAGGCATCTCGGTACTGTAAAGAAACAAAAAGAGTGAAATGACCATGGGATTTGCTCTTGAGCACAGCTGTAGCAGTAGACCAGAAATGCCCAGCTATAGCAAAGAATATAATACTTCGGATTTTCATGACCTAGCAACCAAAGTTGTGCTTGCCTTACCTTGAATGCCTGCTGTCATCAAGAAAAAAAAGGAGAAATAACACTGTAAACATACTGTGCATGACAGACAGATACCTGCTGTGGTTCATGGAGTATAAATGTCAGGAAATGCAAATGACACTTCTGGATTAGACTGACAGCACTTACAGCTCTTACAATGGGATTAGACAACATGTATGAATGTACACCAATATTTTACACCAACTCATACAGCAATCAGTGTAGGACTGAAGAAGTACTTGTATACAAGTGCAAGCTTAGTGGCTGAGAAGATAGGGAGATAAAGGGACACTCCACTGAGCTCTCTCCTCTGTTCCTGCCATGGCACTGCAACACGTCCCTGCTACAGTGCTCTGCTCTGCTCTCCCCAGGCTATCCTAATAAAGCACATTTTAGTCTCAGTGTATATACACAAATGTTAGAAAAATACATTGTATGTAATGATACTGTAGTGACTTCTGTGCTACCTCCCCGCCCCCAGCATAATCTTTCAGAGATTTTGGAGGGATCAGTTTGCTCTTTAACTCCTACTGGCCCACAGTCGAACAAAAGTGAAAACATATCCTAGTGCATTTCCACCTTTAGTCTTTCAGTAAATACAATTCTTTGTGTCCTGGCATTATCTAGTCTGATAGATGGGGCTAAAAAAGTTACTAACCTCTCAGGGAACTCAAAAGGGAAGCAACACTGTGAAAACTTAGTCAGTAGCGATAACTTGTCCCCCATGACAACCCAGGGGGTTGTGTTCTTTGAGCTTTGGGCTGCATGTGCTGGATACTGCCCACAGGCCTTCATTGAGTGAGGGGAAAATGGTGCTGCCATTGTTAAGTATTGATACATTAAAGCCTTTGATAAACGTCATTGGTTCATGACTGTTGTCCATAGAAAAGTGGCAAGAAACTAAACTGTAGCAGAGAAATCATAAAGGGGGTGGGGGGAAGAGGAAATGAATACTTGAAATCTGTTGAGGAACTCTTTTTCTCTTCATTAAATGAATTCAGGTTAACTTGATAATAACCTGCAGTGGCCCTTGAAATGTGCTTAGCCTTCTGGCCTAATTGAGGGCAGCTCACTGAGGCAGCCCGCAGACATGGCAGCTTCTGGTCTCCACTTTGTTGAGATGTTCTTGAGCTTCTGGACACTTTGTCCATGATCTGGGAACTCCCGGGTCCCCTCTGAGGGACCTGAGGGCTCCTGCTGCCACCAGGTCAGGTAAAAGCTAAGGTGAGGGTAGCACCACCAGCTGCTAACTCTGGCAGCTGTGCTTGATCAAAGGGTGCCCACAGCCTTTCTTCTAGCTGACTCCTGATCAGGGAAGGTTGACCACCCTTTGAGCCCGTGCCAGAGAGGCACCTACATAAGAGCCGGGCCCAGAGCACAGCTCCCAGAGGCTGTCAACAGATGCAGCAATTCACAGAGAAAAGACCAGCAAACTTTGTCTGGCATAGCTATCCTTAGTGGTCACATGCCACAGGACATGATCCCCAGGCACCGCTGGTGTAACTGTCTCTTTGTTATCAGACTCTTGGACCTGGATGGTGCTTCATAAGGAAGGATGCAGCTCTGCAAGTCTCAGGAGTGCCTGAGGCCTCTCACTAAGGCCGGGGCACATGGTCTTCTAGCATGCAGGAGCTGCACAGTTGCTGAGGACCTGCCAAGTGAGAGAGCTGTGAGAGGACAGCAGATCACACATCCTCAGAGAAGATGAGAATGATCAACCAGACCTCCCCTGAGACCCTGCAGCTTCAAAAGCCTGGACCTTGAGCTGCAGCAGAAGAGCAGGAGGAGCCTGTGCCTATGAAACTGGAAAGTGGGAACTCCCATCACAATGAAGGCTGCAAATCCACTGCTCTTGTGGCTGATGAGGACCCAGGAGTACTATCAATTGGAGCACTGTGGCTGAGCCTGAGACCCTCAGGACCACTAGAAGGAAGAAGAAAGTGACAGTGGTAAATGACTCACTGCTGCAGGGGATGGAGGCCCCCATCTGCTAACCTGATTTGTCATCTAGGGAGGTTTGCTGTTTGCTGGGGGTCTGACATTCAGGATGTTATGAAGAGGCCACCAAGGCTTATCTAGCCCTCTGACCACAATTCCCTGCTGCTCTTCCTGGTAGGCACCAATATTATTGCCAGGGGTGACCTGGGAAGTATCAAGCATGACTACAGGGCTATTGTGGAGAGATGTCAACGGCGTGTGGCCCAGGTGGTGTTCTCCTTGATCCTGCTGGTGAGGGCCAAGGGCCTGAGGAGGACATGACAGATCTTGTGGGTTAACATCTGGTTGCGCAGCTGACATCAGCAGCAGAGATTTGGTTTCTATGATCACAGGACGCTCACTGAGAATTCACAGCTGCTTGAAAGAGACGGGATCTATTTGACTAAAGAGGGCAAGACTATCTTTGCCAACAGGCTGGGCAACATCATAAGGAGAACTTTAAACCAGAAACAATGGCAGAGGGAGAGATTGCTCAAGAAACAACTTAGAAAGGTGCAGGTAGGGTGGGCAAAGCAAGGGCCTAGGGTGATGGGAAAAGAGGGGACATAACAATCAACAAAACAGAGCTGAAATGGAACCCCTTTGAGGGTAGGTATGTAAAGAAAGAAGTGCCTGCAGGACAGCCTTATAAGGAAAGCTCTCAAGGCTATCCTGAAGAATCAGCATGACTGGGTGTCCCTTGGAAATACCTTTACACTAATACACACAGCATGGGGAATTCTAACATTCTTCCTAAAATACTAAATGCTAAAATGCTTCCTCTTCTAACAGGAAGAGTTAGAAGTCTGTGTGGAGTTACAGGGCTATGGCCTCACTGGGATCATGGAAACATAGTGGGATAGCTTGCACAACTGCAGAGCTGCAATATATGGATACAGGATTTTTAGGAAGGACAGGCTGGGAAGGTGGAGGAGGAGTTCACCTTTATGTGAGAGACCAGTGCGAATGCATGAAGCTCTACCTTAGCTCCTCCAAGCTCAAGAAAGGTCCATTCTGACAAGCATGAAATCAAACAAAGGTGGTAGGAGGCCTGCATGTGTGTACAAGGAGCTCCTAACTAAACTCAAACATAAGAAGGAAGTGTATAAGAGGTAGAAGCACAGACAGGTGACCCAGGAGTATGGAGTTGCTGACAAGTTTTTCAGGGATATGGTTAGGAAAACCAAGGCCAACCTGAAGTTGAATCTGGCAGGGATGGGAAGACCAGTGAGAAGACTCTACAAATATATAAGAGCAAAAGGAAGACTAGGGAACATGGGTCTGCTGCTAAATGGAGCAGGGTGACAAATGACACTGAAAAGACCAAGACATTCAATGCCAACTTTGCTCGTCTTTACTGGTAAGACCTGGCCTTCAGGAATCCCAGGCCCCTGAGACCAGAGGGGAAGTCCGGAGCAAGGAGGGCCTATCCTCAGTGGAAGAGGACCAGATCAGGGTGCAAAGTGGACATAAGTAAATACAGGGGGTCTGATAGATTGCACTCATGAGTGCTGAGGGAGCTGGCTGATACCACTGCAAGTCCACTCTGGATAATATTTGGAAGGTCATAGCTATTGGGAGACCAAGTATCACCCCTATCTTCAAGGAATGCAAGAAGGAAGATCCAGGGAACTACAAGCTGGTCAGCCTCATATCAATCTCTGGGAAGGTGATGGAGAAAATCCTCCCAGAATCTATTTCCAAACACATGAAGGACAAGGTCATCAGGAGTAGTGAGCATGGATTTATGAAGGGGAAATCATACTTAACCAGCCTGATAACTTTCTACAATTACATTAATATCTTGGTGGATGAGGGGACAGCAGTTGTGGCTGTTCACCAAGTTGAAAAAGTACGGGTTAGAGAAGTGCACAGTGAGGTGGATTGAAAATGAGCTGAGTGACCAGGTCCAGAGGGTTGTGATGAGCAGCAAAAAGTCCAGTTGGAGGCCAGTCACTAGTAGTATACTTCAGAGATCAACCCTGCCTGAGCAGAGGGGTTGGACAAGATGAACTCCAGAGGCCCCTTCTGAGGGGGAAGAAAAGCAGGGGGCACCCCAAATCTTACAAAAAAAAAAAAATCTTCATTTGAAAAACTTTGCAAGAGTGTTTGTGGTAGTGATGCTTGTAGTGGTGGTGCTTTCTGATAGAAGATATCCTGAAAAATCCAGTTCCATACAAACCACAACCCTTTCTCAGTTTGGAGCTCAACAAAATAAAAGCAACAATGAAAAGAACTGAGGGGGAAAATGGTCACTCTGATTTCCAGTTAATAATACTTACAGATTTCGCTTCTGTGGTGTTTTCTAGGTAATCCTCTCGAGATGCAAGAGAGAGGCTTGCTTGGTCAAGCTGTTAAAAATAACAAGAAGCAGCATTTAATAGGTAAATTCATCAGAATTCAAAGGTAGCCCTATAAGCAACCTTGGAAATGTTCATGTTTTTCTGGCAATTATGATAGATGTGTGTAAATATCTAATACATAATACACTGCACCGGCCTGAGTTCCACAGGATTTCAAGACAACAGAAGAATGCTATACTGTGCTGACAGACATTACCTAAATCACAATTCTGTGATCTGGGGATCAGATCAGATCTCAGAAGCCCCCGCAATATCTGAGCCGCCTGGTACAGCAAAGAATCACCTACATGATTTATGTGTTTATGGCTCCATTAACAGTAGGCAATGCAATAGGACTGGGTCTACAGGAACAAACAGTTGGTGCTGACGACCATTCATCCTATACATATTTCAGAGGCACAACAGCCAGCTTGAGCCAAACACTAGTCTAGTGTATGGACCAAATGCTCATTAGGTGCTGGAGCATGTTAGCTGCCAGGTATCTGGAAAGCATCGTTAGCTGCCTTTGACTGAAATTGAGGTTATGCTTCTGAGCTTCACCCTAGACCAGCAGTGAGTGCTGTATTTGGTTTTTTGAACAGATGTACTGAAACAGCTGGATACCAGCCACAGAAATGATTGCATGCATGCACAGAAAATTGTTATGCCTCCAGTACATTAGCTAGATATGTCTGGTAGGTCCAGGTGGATCTTTGACTTTCGCTTATCCTTTTGATCTAAACATGGATCAAATTTGTTGGTCTACAGTTACACTAATATTGGAATAAGGTCCTCAAGGTAGTTTCTAAACCAGTCCTGAAAATTCATTGAGATCTGCACTTAGTCTTTTGAGTGAAATGACTACATGGGAGTATTTGCATACTGTTTCAAGTTCCTAACCAGGCAAAACTCACAGCGCAGCATATATCTTAAAATTACTACTGGAAACTGAGATTTCCCAAAACACTTCAACATGATCAGGTTAGGTTAGGGTATGGAAGCTGAAGCTGAAAACATAATTTAACCAGCTTCCAAACTCTGAATAAGGTACTGATTGGAGCAGAAACAACAGTTTTGATGTTCTAAAATTATTATTTTGATGCTGTATTTGTTTTTAAAAGATAAGTCTAGTGAAGAGAGATTATGTTTATTCACACAATTTCACATAAGTCTATTTTAATCTAAATCATATGCCATTTATATTTTACATTTTCTACATTTATAAAAATGACCTAAATAAATATGACTTAGAATCTAAAATGAACGAATAAATGTCATCTTTTTCTCTACTGGCTGATATTCTCAACCTTTAAAATATACCATAAATAAATAAAACAAACCATACACTGAAAGGGGAGTAGCTGTGATGCTCAACACAAATCTGATTCTTCGAAAAACAGTATCACCTTCTTTTTTTTAGCATACTGAACCAAAAGAATATACTCTTATGCTTTGCATATGTGTGTCCTGGTAATAGTTAACTTCAGATGATTTGGGCTATCTCAGTTATGCGACTGTCACATGAAATGCTCATCCAGATTTTCCTGGTTTCAGAGTTAGATTTGACAACCCATTGAAACCAAGAAAACACAAATATGAGAAATAAACAAAAAAGTTAATCAACTTCGTTAGCCCTCAAGAAAAAAAGATCATGTTGAATGCTGAACAAAGTTTTATTTGGTTTTCTACTTTTTTTCTGATCCATTCATGGTTTTGCAATGCTGAACAAAAAGAATTTTGCAAGAGCCTTTTTCACAAGCAGATTGAAATACTCCATGGTACATCTGCACCCCTGGGAATTTGTTAAAACACAGACAAAGTAGAATACTGGCTATTGCATTCTGCAGATCAAGTTCTTAATCAAATTAACAACAACAGAATACCCTACAGAATAATAGGTTATTTGTAGTATGTAGTGCTTCAGTTATTTAGATACCTAATTCTAAGGTGTACTAAGCATACTGAGTGAACATACTGCTAGGTATAATTCATTTCCAAGAGACCAGCAATAAGGATATAACTGCCCAGGCCTTCAATGACAGGTGACTTGGACTGAAATATTATGACAGGAGATACCTAAATATCTCTCCTGTGTTCTACCATTTCAGTTCTTTTAAACAAATCTCCAGCCAAAGCGATCCTGACAGGATCTGAACAGCATCTTAGCAGAATGACATCTTTAATACAGCAAACTGTTGATCTGCTGCTGACTAGTCAGGAAAATGTCCTAGAGATGGGGAAAAGTTAGCCTTCAATTTTATACCAGTTAAATGCCTCAGTCAAAAGCCATTTTAAAGAACTGACTCAGAATTGACACCCACTCCAATACCACCACAGTTAATTGTTGTTTGATCCCCAAATACAACGTATTCTTGGCTCTATTCCTACAGCTAGCCAAGGTACTAGCAACGTAAGGATCATAGATCCTATTTTGCTGTGATGAATGGCATCATAGCTTCCTTCTTTGCCCCTTCTCTCTTGCCTTCATGAACTATTTTCTTGTAGCAGCGGACGGCTGGTTTACTCTGGCTGCTCATCTCTACTTCTTAAACAACAACAATGCATTTGGCCCAGGCACTCAGTCTTGCCATGGTGACAGCTCACAGTAATAGTTACAATTCTCTCTGGAGTTTTGTCAGACTACAGTAAGGCAACACTTCTTGGGTCATTTTCTCACTAAACTGTTGTGTAATGCCATGCACTGTTAACAAACTGGCAATGTTTTGGTCCAAAAGCAACAGCATTTCAGTAAAAAGGTAAATTCTGTATTTCAGGTTTAGAAGTGTTTGGGATACATCTGTGTTGTAAGGTGCTGTATAAGCACAAGATAATGTGTTTCCATCTCAAGAAAAGTAGCTCAAGTTCAAAATATCTGCTACTGATGCACCATTCTTCATCTTCACAGACAAAAAACATTCTTCATTAAACTGATGAGTCATAAGCAGCACCCAGAACACCCTCAGGACTGCATATCCACCTCTCTCTGTTTCACACACATAGACCCTGGACATTGGTCCATGGGGAAGATATTTTACCTTTTTTTGCCATTTGAAAGGAGAAAATACCCTGTACAGAAATATTTTTCAATAGCATGTGGTTCCTAGTGGCTTCTACACTCCCATAAATTGGCACCTATTTACATCTGTAAGTCAGTAGATAATAGCAACAATAATCAAGTGTAAACATTTAGCATGTAAACACGTTTTTAAAAACATGAGACCACAAAATACCATACAAAGCAACCTATTAGATATGCTATATTGTACCTTCAGGATATACTGATTGGAGATTTTGTCATCAGCAGCCACATATAAACGGATGAAGACAGAGTTACTGTATTGACCACGAAGGCTTGCCAAGGCTTGGACTAAGCTAAACCTCCTTTCTGACCACAGCCCTTCAGGTCCAATGTTGGATTCCAGCACAGGCCAGCGGAAAGGTGAATGCCTCAGTATACTTAACAGGGGTTTCATGTCGGCTTTTTCAATTTTATCTGAAATGTCAAAGTGTGACAACAATTACATTCCAGACAATTCAAATCCAGCAGCAGCCACACGAGACCCAAAGATTTATCGGCGTTGATTGATTTCTAGGCAAGACAAAACACAATAGCTGAAACACAAAGCCTCTGCTCTGCCTGTGAGCACAGAAGCATGGGAGTCCAACCCAGTTTATCTGAATCAAGAATAAGAGAGGCAAATCAGTTCCTTTCAAAAAAGGCAAAGAGCTGGAATTAAGCCAATTAAAAAAAAAAACATTCCTCGCTTAGGAACTAGCACAGAAACTTCACTGGTTCTGAGAAGGGGTTATTGTACATAGTGAAAACTAGAGGGGTCAGCATGTCAGTACCAAGGCTGAGGGGCAGGCTCAGTTGCTGAGAGTCAGTCTCAGGCCGTGCTGGAAGAAAACTGTTCAGGAAATAAAGTCTGAAACAGTCCAAAGGATAAAGGGCACTTTGAAGGACAAAGTCCACTCCCTCCCAACTCATCTTTCACCCGTGCAGCTACATAAAGGTAGTGATGTGTCCCAACCTAGTGTACATCACTTTACAAGAACATTTACAAGCTCAGGAAAAACACTCGGCAATGGTAGCTATAGTGCTCCCCATCCAAACTTGCTTGACACCCAGATAACTCAAAGCTAAAGAGTCCATGGCGCTCTATGCCCAGCCCTGTGGAAGTGTTTTGATTAAATGTATTTAGAGAAAGGTAGAAGGCACTGAGCGACAGGCTCTTGAAAGTGTCAGTATGAGAACTTCATCATAGGGCTCCTCTGATTTACCAGGCACTACCCTCACACCCCTGGGGCACAGTTTTGGCATCCTTTTGCACAGTTCCCTGACAAGCAGAGGTCTCTGTAAAACTGACTTCTTGTGCCTTGGTGTACCTCAGTCTTAATAGCCAACTTCAGAAATATGTAGAAGACCCTCTTCATTCAGCTGAATCCAAATCAGCGAAACCCGTGTGTCTACACAAAGCTTCACAGAGCTCAGCAGAAAGCAAAAAAAGCCTGCCTTTATGAACACAAGTAACACATATGTGTCCCCCTCAAATCAGGCCACTTACTCTCATTCATGCAGGATGCGTAAAGGATCTTGGCCTTCTGTACAGCTTCACTGTCTCGTCTTTTGCTGACGGGTTTCTCAAGCAATGCTGAAAAAAGGAATTATTTTTCAATAGGTCGGAAAGTCTGTTTGCCTTTCTCAGCCCTTACTTTAATCATAGCATTTGTTTAATTAAGGATGAGGTTCCACATGTATTTTCTTGAGCAGTAACACAGACATAATTGCATTTCTTTCAATCCCCAACAAAGAAGGAATTTTTATGTATTTATTTTTAAGAGAACTGTTTTAAAGCCAGTTGACAGATGCTGTTTATTACTCATCCTCACAAACAGCCACCCTCAGCAAACTGAAGGGACAGGGAATCGTGGGGCAAAGGTGGGAACCAGCGCACAGGACAGGGAGTTCTTTCAAGTGGCTCAGCCTCTGGTGCTGGTATGTTGTGAAATCGGGGTCTAACGAAGAAGGTGACAGGATGCAAGGAGCAAGACTGCTGGCGTTCACATTTGCCAGCTCTGCTGCTGCTGAAAGAAAGCAGTGGAGAACTGCCCCATTGTCTGCCAAATGCCCACAACCTCAGTCTCGTAAATGACACAGAAGACCAAGTGCCCAACTGCTATTTGAAAAGCTGCTCTATATAGCAGCTCCTCACGCTACAGGTGTCAGCCCCCTTGGTGTCTGAAAGCCAAACTAGCTTTTCTAAGCTGTCATCTCTCTGCATTCCTTGCATTCCTCACATTATGTTATGGAAGTGAAATACCATGAAAAGTGCATCTGAATTTCAGCAGTCCACTCTCAGCTGCCTCAAGCCATTTTATCCAAGTTGTAAATCAGCCATGATGCAGCTGCAGATACACATATTATGGCTAAATGCAGAGGCAGCTAACTTCAGCAAGATCTATTAGCTCAGGTGCAGCACGGCATGTGCATTTCCACGGCCAAGAGAAGCAGGGTAGTACTTGGGCACAGCACAGAAACAGGGCTAGCAAACACTGTCAGACCTCACCTGGTTTTGTAAGACCCAAACAGGTCCTGCACAGCATTACCTTATTGTTGCTGCGACCACTGTAGAGAGTGGCTTGGCTGGAACCATCCCAAGTGCCTCCTGCTGCATGCTCAGCCAGAGCTAAAAAGCCTTGAAAAATTCAAGGGTGCCTTCTCTATGCCATACTCCCCAGTGCTCTGGGTTTCAAATGAGGAATGGCACAGTGCAGATTGACCCTGTGTGGTGCTGTGCCTGAGCTAAGAAGCATGCCCCACACAAAAGGTGTAACAAAGCACAACCCAGGAGGCACAGCGGCCTGCCAAAGTCCACAGAGGACCACTGGAACTTCATAACACCAGCCATGGCAAAACCAAACCGTTTCCACATGGAGCTTAATCAGGTGTCAATGCAACATTATTCTTCTCTGCCAGTACTGGCTGGGGTGACACGGAGTACTGAAGAGGTGGTGGTGCTGCCATCCAAGAGCAGCACCCTCCTGCAAACGGGCAGCAGCTGCTCACTCTCCAGCCCCTGCCCTTTCCAGCAGCTCCCCAGAGTCCTCTCTCCAGTGTCACCTCTCATGGGAAGCAAGAGTCCAGCTGGGTGGTACCACTAAGTTCTGTAGCTGAGAATGGTCTGGGTTGGTGTGGCTCCACTCGATATTAGGAGCTCACTGCTGGAGGTAGGATTTAAAGACACTTATCTCCCAGGATTTCCCTAGAGCCTTGAAGATCCTGCCATACTGCACCTCTCAGATGTTCCCCACCTATGCTCACATGAGCACTCAGGGGACCATACTGCTGACATCAAACTGTTTATTAGTCAAATAATACCGTAGTGATGAACAAATACCACTTGTTCTCTCCCTCCAAATACTTTTCGCCTTAAAAAAAACCCCAGGCCTCATTTGTCTGGATCTTTGAGAAATGTAATGACAGCATTCCCTTTTAGTTATGGATAAGCTTTTCCCTAAAAATACTGTTGGACAGGATTCCCAATAGCTTTGGTTTCAGCTCCTCAAATTGTTATTATTTCTCAGCTTGTTAAATACAATATAATACCAATCATTGACACATATCTCCAGTGTGCAGTTCTTAGCAGAATAATCAGACCTGTTCATGTTTTAAGAATGGCATTTTAAAAGAAACTGTAAAAGAAACCTACATAAAACTAAGGATGAAAAAATACACCCCTATTAAAGCCATTGCAATACCTTCTGTTCCTTGCCAGTGAGCTGCACAGCTATGAATTTCTGAAGCTAATAAAATTCACTGACTAAAGTCCAGGTAAAACTCAGGAGAGATACAGAGGAAGAGATCCAATAAAATAAAATCAACTCTAGGAATACATAAAATCCTGTTAAAGTCAGACCTGGTGTTTTCCCATCAAACCCTCTCATTACGGGACAGAACGAAGCTGTAACACTCACTCCACTATTGCAAAGAATGAGGTGGAGTAGGTGCTGCCAATTTGCGCAGAATTAATTTATGAAGAAAATTCTTGCTTCTGATGACAGAAAAATCCAGTGATCAAACATGAAAACCTTAATAAGATGGCTGAATCCTGTGAACACTGAAACGGGGGATGTGATCCATGAGTGAGTGCTCTTTAGGCTATAGAGGTTCCTCATCCTTAGCCTCAAGCTTCCAGAAAGATTTAGGAGCGCAAACCTGGAGCACTGGTCAGATCCAGCTGGTTTCTGCATTAGCTAATATAAAATCCAAATACAAGGTTTAGAAATTCTCTTCTTATTTAACTCACAAATATATATGGATTTTACGTGTCCTTGAATATTTAAATTCTTCTTAAAGAAGAAGAGCAAGAAAAGGCAAAAAGCGATGCATACTAATCAAAATTATGGGTAGTCAATTAGTCTATCTACAAGTTGCTGTGTCCATGGAAAGAAAGTCACTGCTGTGATTGAAATCAATGGAGACACATCAAGCTGTCTTTAAATTAAAAATGTCAGGTACTGTGAGTAGTGTGGCCATAGTAGCAGGCTGCAACAGCTACCCTCCTGCACTGAGCTCTGCAGCGCAGCATTTTGAAGGGCTGCAGGTCAGTCTCTCTGCTCTCTGAGGACCTCTGCAAGTTAAGCAGACGTGCCTCAGGGCTATCCTGCGCTCTCACCAGCACAGAGAGGCACTCTCTGAACAGTGCTCCATCTCTTGACAAGTGATGTGGCATTTCAGGCTTTCATTTACACTGAGGAAAATGCCAGACGGTGACCCACAGAGAGCAAATCCAACCCCTCTGCCAAAATTCAACTCTTAACTATAGCTGGCTGGAAGGACTGTCTTTCCACCTTGAAAAATTTTAATGGCTTCAGATATTTTTTGTTTGGACACCAGAATGAAAGCAAAACTTATGAGGTCTTCCAAGGGATAGGAAGAGAAAGACCACCCCAGATCAGTTAATGTTCAGCCTGATGAGATACCCACAGACCTGCTCTTTAGTTCCCCACCCTGCCTTTCCAAATGCCCTGCTCTCACTCCTTAGATTGTATGTATTTGTCCAATCCACTGAGAAGTTCAGTCTAATAGTTTTTTTTTAAAGTCCAGCAGCTGGTATTAAAAACTGTGGCCAAGTTAGGGAGATCAAGGTTACCAGCATTTTGACTAAAGCAGCTCACTCAGCACTAAAAAAGGACATTGAGTTTGTCCTACATGCAGCTTGCTTCTTTTTTTTAAAAAAAAAAAAAAAAAAAAAAAAAAAA